TTTTTCATTAAAAACGGCCTCAAGCTCATTAAAAATTGTTGAATATAATTGTTATAATGCCATAAAATAACAAAAACAAATATTTTAATGCACGTTAAATAAAAGTTTGTTTTAAATATTTTTTGTTTGTTAAATTGAAAAATTAAGGTTAAATATTTTTCATAACAAACAAATTTTTCAGTCGATTGCAATTTAAGTAGTAATATATCTTCTGGACATGAACAAAATCGGACCATACATAGTTATCGATTTTTCAATTACATATATCAACCCCTGCGCCCCGCAGTGTACGATTTGGGAGTGTCGATGGACAAAATCGTAACTCCTTCGATAGGAATAAGAAGAAAATATGGAAAAATATGTGTTCGAAAGCTGACATAATGATCCCAGTTTTTTAATTTGCAAAGTTGCATCTATATTTTCAACTTTTAATCAGTTTTTTCAGAATTTTTTATGTAAGCAGTTTTGTAGTCCAATAAATACTAGTATAGAAAAGTTAAAACATTTAATTTAGAGAAGAAATTTGGGTGCCTCGGCTGAAAGTCTACAAGAAAGGTCCATAAAACAGAAAACCAAAATTTTTTCTTGGAACCTAGCCAGCAGAGTAATATTTTTTTTCGAAAGTTAATTTAGTTACTTCTTTTAATTTAATGTAGGTAATATACAAATGTTGACTAATTCATAGGCTAATAATAAACTAATGAACTAAACTAAATCGGATCATAAAGACGAGTTTTACAAATATCTCGACTCCTGCACCAAAGTTGAAGAGTTGATTGCAAAATTTGATTATAGACACTGTGAAATTAAATAAAAGCTTTTAAAAACACAATTTGTTATAAACAAAAGTATAATTTGTTCGCAATCATAGAGCCTATACAAAACTGAGTAAATGATAGTTCTGATAATTTTTAGTAATTTTTAATTCAAAAAAAATTTAAAAATATTTTTACAATGAGTTTCATGAAAGCAATTTAAGTGGAAAATAATTTTTTTATTTAAATTTGTTATGAAAACTGACAAAAGCGAAAACTCATTTTTCACTTATATAAGTTGCTTGTGCAACCGGCCTAAAGGCTGGCTAATTATCCAAAACATTAAGCTTTTATATTTAAAAAAAAAATTCTTTCACTTAAATTGTATAAGTTTTTGTATGTACTTCTATTTATTTTTAAAGTGAAAATAAAATTGTTAACAAATACATATAATAAATATGTAAGTATATAGGAAATGACAAAATACATCTACGTATTCTCAAGAAACACATGTATGTACCGATTAAAATAGTTTTAATTAATAATCTTCCTAATTTGGCTTTACACCAAACAAATTATGTTTATCGTGGTGAATAAATTGTCTCCAACTGGCAACACTGTTAAAAAGCTCAAGGCACCTTACCAAGGAGACGGAAGCACAGCATTTAGCCAGTAATCGGAAATTCACTCGGGCGGTAGCTTGGAAAATTCGGTGTCCGGTCGCGTTTGTCGGTAAATTGTGAAAAATAGTGAATCAAATAATAAAGAAAAAGTTAAATTATTGCTTAATTGTGTGGTCTTTATAGCAGTGAGTGATAGCAAGGAAAATGTGTCGAAAAAATCCATGTAGAAAATGTGTAATGCGAAAGAAGCAAGTAGGCAAATGTGTATAGGTATGTAATATTAATGACTGCTTGTTTGCCAACCAATGAAAAAGAACGGAAAGCAAGAGAGAGGAAAATAAATGTAAGCTGGGGTGTGTTCAGAAATGCATCAAACCAAAGCATCAGACGCATTTAATTCTAAACTATAATTGATGGAAATGTCCAATATGCGCAACCACGATTAAATGCCTAATTTGAACTTAGTTGCGTAAATAAGGCATTTCCATCATATATAGTTTAGAAGTAAAAGATACTGATGCTTTGGCTTGATGCATTTCTGAACGCACCCCTGATGTGCAATATAAAAGGGGTCTTCATATAAAGTGATAAAAACATAAAAACATATGTATGTATAAACGGAATTTCAATTCGCTTTGAAAGAGCGAAGTGTTTTGGCTCACACTCCATTTTAAATCGGTAGTTTATTTCTGCAGACAGTTAGAAAGAGTGTATAAACACCGCTCTTACTCAAAGCGAATTGGAGATCAGCTGTTCCGCTTAAATTCCAAATAATCGCATCAGTATTTAAAAGCTGATTAATAATAATCGTTCTTTTACTTTGCCACGATTTTATAATGCCGAATAAAACTAGATTTTTTTCATGTTGTGAAAATTTTTGTTAGCTCATATAATAGAAATTGCGTTACCGGCGTATGTATTTATCTGTGTTAAATGCTTTTCTCGGTTCGCAAATTTAAAATGCTTTGAGAAAACCCAAGTTTTATTCGCCTTATTGGTTCGTTCATACATACATATGCTACGCGGCGTTTAAAAGCTTTCGGTTTGCCTGTTCGATATTTCGGTGTACGCTTTGCTAGATTTCACACGTATAAAAATGGATTGACATCACAATTTTACATCTACTACATGAACATGTGAGTTTTTTAATCTTTTGGTTATAAAATTAAAAATATTTTGGATGTGCACCGAAACGCCTGCAACGCTTTCGTTGTCGGAAATGCATCATTAAAAAATTTTTCGAATCAAAAATAAGTTAAATAATAAGTTTTCAACACTGTGCATGCGTTTCCTTCCGAAACCAAGTCCAAATGTGTTTTTCCCGCCATCTCTGGGTCATTAGCGTTAAAATTGGAAAGATACATGAACTAAATTTAACCCTTAGAAAATCGGCCGGTAAAGATAAGGGTCAATTTCAATCTGTCAAGTTATGAAAACCCCTTTGAAACAAAAATTATGAAAAACATCTCAACGGGAACAACACTTTGCATTCTTTTATTTCCCGACAAAGTTTGCATATTAACAAACAGCGTTCAAAAACAACAAAAAAAAATTTTAATTCTGTAATAATTTATTTCATGATTTTTAAGATTATGTATGTTTACACATAATTTGATAATTGTTGATTTTTGAAAACCCAAATCCACACAATCAGTTGATTACGACTAACTACAAACGTAAATGTAGTAAATAAACAGCTTAACATACTGTCTACGAACTTATGATTAAATGCGATGCATGTCGGCGCCAACCCTCTATTCCTCCTCTATATACCATTGCGATCTTCAGGCCGTGTCTCACTGTAGAATCCCAAATTCATAGTAGGTACCAGTTGGCTGTAGAATGACATATCCGCAGCTGATGGACGATGTTGTGCGGCTGACAGGTCTGTTGGTGCTGGCGCTGGTGGAGGTGGTGGACCAACGCCAGCCGGAGTTGTAACTAAATTTATAGGGCCCGCAGTGTTGGCGCCACCAGCTAGGCCCAAAATGTTTAGGGGTAGTGCACTCGCTATGCCCGATGCTGCGCTTATGGCGGCTTGTGTAGCCATGACGGCATTTTGCTGCAGTTCGTGCATTTTCATGTGTTTTTCGAATTCGTCGCGTTTTATGAATTGTATGCGGCACACTTCACATGGATATTGTGGTGCATGGAATTCCAATTCATGGCGTGCCAGCTTCTCACGTCTATTGAAACCAGTACCACATTGTTTGCATGTGAATAGTGTGTCCAAATGCAATGCCTGATGTCGTTGTAAGTCGCGTTCACGTGTAAACGTTTTCTGACAAATGGTACAAGTGAACATGCGTGTATGTGATGGTTTATGTGGTGGTGGTTTCGGCATTAGCGGACGTTGCTGCAGTTGTGCGGCTAAGATGCTATGCTGGCGATATTGATCCTGTGGCGAGGGCATGCTAGCATGGGGCTGTGTAGACTCAGCTTCACCATAGGGATTAAGAGAGACCACTATATTTTCTGGTTGTCCAACAACACCACCAACCTCGTCACTTTTAACACCACCACTTAGCGTTGCACCGTTACTTTGATTAGGCAGTAATTCGGAGTCACGCCGGTAGTGCGTCTGTTCATGCAAATGCAGTTTATCTTTGCGTGCGAAAGTACTTGGACAAAGACTACATTGGAATGGCTTTGAGTTTGTATGTGTACGAATGTGTCGCATCAGATCTGTCGCGCTTGAAAAGGATCGTGGGCAACGCGTACAAACGTGTGGTTTTACGCTGCTATGAATTCGTATGTGTTTTGTTAAATTGGTATTACGAGAAAAGCTTTTTGCGCAAACAGGACATGAGAACGGACGCACACCAGTGTGTACAATGGTGTGTTTTTTCAAATCCGAACGCCGGCAGAAGCCCTTTTTGCAGAATGCACATACATATGGCCGCTCAGGATCATGTAGTTCCTTGATATGGTATATTAAATTCTGACGACTTGATGTGCGTTGTGAACAAAAGCTGCAGACATAAGGTGCGGCACTGTCGTGTTGTGATTCATGCTCTTGGCATTCTGGTTGCGTTGTAAATGCCATATCACAATACTGGCAAAGGAAGGTGTTTTTAATCACAATTTCTCCGGCAATAAATGAGTCGCTACCAAGCATGTTGGGAAAAGCAGTTGGTGCTTCGGGCGCAGGCATAGAGTTGTCGGTGTTTTGCTGTTCCTCTGTGGTCATTGGAACTGTTGCCGATAGCGAATCGTTTGGTTCATTTGTCGGTTGCTGCGATAATTGATGCGTGTCATTTGTAGAAGTTTGCATTTGCAAGGCGTGTGGTGATGAAGCCGAATGCTCTTCGCCCTCCGAATCCGATTCCATAGAAAAATCATCCTCTGAACTTTCGTAATCTTGATTGGGGTCCACTTCAGTTATTATGCAATTATCTTCAGGCTCAAATGTGCCTGGGTTGCCATTAAGACCCGGACGTTGATCCACGCAATCTGCCGTTCTTCTATTTTGGCGTTCCACCCAACTCTGCAACTCAGTCTCAATTCTTTGCACATTTTCGCGAAAAGCGGAAAACGCCTCAACCATTGCAAAACAGCGCTGGCAGATGTTACTAGGCAACAACGTTGATTGCTGAAACTGATTCAGAAACCACTCGCAAATGATATAACCTCCTTAGCTTAACAAACCACACATCTTACCTTAACACCTAACAAATCATACAGCCGTTCCACCATTGGCATTCTTTTCTCTGCTCCAACGGTTGGTGGCGTTTTTTCTGCTGACTGTGGAGGCTCCTCCTCAAAGATATTCACAATTGATTTGTCATGACGCAAACATAGGCGACATAGTCCAGTGCCGTCATCCATTGCTGAAGATTCTGCTGGTGCAGCTACCGCCTCGAGATCCACCATTGCTGTAGGCTGCTATAGAAATGATATGCGCGTTCAGAGAACAATTTTTCTTTTTTACACAAATTATTGAGATGCTGCTTTGTTTCGAATGAAAGTCATAAGCTCCTAAGATGTTTTTAGTGCAGTAAATTTACAAAAATGAATGAATTATCAACGCGTCGCTCAAAAATACGGCAAAATTACGCGAAAAGCAATAAGACAGAGTTGCTATGCCAAAACACAGTGTTGCATTCTGTTTGCGGCTGATCGCTCTAACACCACGTTTAGGTGGGCAGATTTTCATAGCGCGCTATAAGCAATTTTCGACGGTGCGGATAAATATAAAATATTGTTATTTAGGGGAGTCCCTTAAACTCCTAAAACCCCCTCTAAACGAAAGAGAATGGACCGCGCTTTGTGAAAAGTCACCCCTCCCCCGTAATGCTCCACAGACCACTTGTGAGCCGTTTGCAAATATGGGAAACTTGGATTTTTTGCAAAAGGATTATAACCTTCACTAAGCAGATTTCTTCTTTCTGTGTTGCCGAAGAAGAGCTGCTGAATACCTTTCGTGGATATTTTTTATGTCCATTTCAGGATTTTCGAGCCTATTTCAGGATTTTCGAGACAGCTTCGGTATTTTTAAGATTTTCGAGAATATTTCAGAATTTTCGAGACTACTGCGGGAATTTCGGAACTACTTCGTGGTTTTCGGGGATTTTAGAAAATGTTTCGAAATTTTCTGGATTACGTCGAGATTTTCGAGACAACTTCGAGGTTTAAAAAATTTTTTAAGTCCTCGCGACTAGTTCGAGATTTTCGAGATTTTTAGAACTCTATGGACTTTTTCGTGTTTTTGAAACTAAACATATTGATAAATATATCAAGAAAAATATCGATTATTATATCGGTAACAATATCGATAAATATGTGTATATATGAAATATCGATAAACATATTGACTAAATATCAATAAAAATATCGATAAAATATCCATAAATATATCGTTAAATATAACTATGAACAGATCGATAAATTTATCGCAAAGTACTTCGATAATAAGAGTATAACGAGAATTCCGAAATAGTCGCGGGAATCTCGAAGTAGTCTCGAAAGTCCGAAAATATACCCAAAAATCCTGAAATATTTTCTAAAATCCCCAAATTCTTTATTATTAGAGTAGTTTTAAGTTTAAAAGAGATGTAATGGTGTTTTTTTAATTTTTTCATAAATGAAAAAGTATTTAGTTCTTTTAGTATTTAAGTATCTGCTACAGCATTTTCAGTTTAAATTAAACCATTTTCAAATTAAGTGAAACCTTTTTCAAATTAAATGAACCCTTTTTCAGCTTAAGCGAAACCATTTTCAAATTAGATGAAACCTTTTTCAGATTCAATGAAACTTAATTCAAATTAAATGAAACTTTTTTAAAATTAAATGAAACATTCTTAAAAGGAAGTTTCTTTTAATTTGAATAAAGTTTCATTGAATCTGAAAAAGGTTTCATTTAATTTGTAAAAGGTTTCGCTTTATCTGAAAAAGGTTTAATTTAAATTGAAAATGGTTTCGCTTTGTTTGAAAATGGTTTCATTTAATTTGAAAAAAGTTTCACTTAAATTGAAAATGCTATAAATACCTTTGTACCTCAGTGAAAGTATGTATTTTGTAATTCCAAAGTACCTGAGTATTTTGGACCAGAATATGTAGCGCCTGCTAACTACTTTCACTTTAGTACTTTAGTATCTAAAAGCTCCTAAATACCTAAATAATTTTTACTCAATGTATTTGTAATTTATGATAATATTTAGATATCGTTAGCGATAAATCTAGTGATATATTTATATTTAGTGATATGTATAGATATATTTAGTGGTAGATTAGATTGTGATCGATATATTTGTTGAAATACATAAGTTTTTTTAAATACAAATTATTGCATATGTAATTTTCGATAGGATTATCGATTAAGTTTAAACATTTTTATCAATAAATTTGTAGAAATTGTTATAAATATCGATATTTTTATATATTTTGTCTATCGATAAACATACGGTACATAAGAATATAGCTATAGCATATTTGGATTAATCATCGATAAATTTTGCGATGTATTTATAATTTGTGATAGTATTTCGATATCGTCATCGATATATTTTGTATTGATGATGTATTTCTCGATATCACCATCTATATATTTGTTGAAACAAGTATTTTTAAATAGAAATTAATTCAATATCGACACATACATTGTATTTATCGATAAACTTATCGATACCATAATTTGTTAGTTATCGATAAATTTCCTGCACTAGTTATCATTCCATTTTGCGAAACATTTATAATTTTCGATGTTCCTACGCGAGCATATTTCGATAACAATATCGATAAATACATCAACGTTCATACTGCCATCGATATACTTATTTGTTGACACCAGTATTAACATATTTCTTGTTGCCGAAAACAAAGACCTTTTACAGCGCAATCGTAAAAATACTTCATTTTATTATCTACATATTTTTAAAATGTAGGGACCGCAACAGTTATAACTGTTATTTAAAAAAAATTGCTCCTTAACAATTATTTTTTCACTTTTATTTAATTACTCCCTCAATAACCGTTATTTCTGACTTTTTTTTTATAAATCCAAAATAACAATTATTTTTGATTTTTATCTAAAAAATTGCAAATAACAGTTATTTTTTATTTTTAAATTATGTGTCTCAGATAACACTCATAAATTAAAATCAGTCATTGACCTTAATTTTTTAACTCATACTTATAAAAGTCTTATGTATAAGCCGTAGTAAACTTTTGTTTCCCAACACCGTCTGAACTGCAAAAAATGTTAATGACTTTTATACAAATGATTAAAAAATAAATAAAAGTCGGTGACTTACCTGTATTGATGACTTTTAAAAGTAAAAGTCACTGACTGATTTTTATTGAAGACTTTTATAAATAATAGTCTTCAATAACTGTTATCTAAGACATATAATATAAAAATCAAAAAAAATTGTTATTTTTTTAATTTTGCATAAAAATTTGCAAAAAAAAGTTTATTTTCAAATTTGAAACCGATTGGTATGTATCAGTTAGTTGTAGAACATTTCCTTCATAGTGAATTTTTCCACAACAGTTTTCATCAATAACTGTTATGTTCGGTCCCTATTAAAATATATTTGTTAAATTATATTGAACCGGCCCTGTCGTGGTTCGATATTTCTGACGACGATTTTCCGAAAACAACCCTCACCAATGTTGTGTGGCAACACCATAGTGCCACGCCTGTGTAGCCACCTCCTACCTGTAGGGGTCGCTGTAAAATGTCACTATACGCCACTAGACGAACTGGTTTTTTTTTTGCGCGGCAGCAATTCGTTAAATACCTTTTCCGTTAAGTGCCGGAAATGTGATACAGTGTTACATGAAAAAAATCCATGAACGCATTCCAAGGAGCTGCGTGCGGTCTGTAATCTTTCCAAGAATACGTAGCGAGCTTGGCGATGACAATGTTCAACAAATGCGCTACACTGTGGAATTTTACTTGTAAAATCACGCATGCATACATAGATATGTCTGCAACAGTATCCTATATAGTGCGTTTGCCGTATAAAATCACTTGCACGCCCATTCATTCCATATTGCTTGCTCGCTGGAATGCAGCAACGGTGAATAAGTAAATTGCGCGCGCATACATTCATACACACATACATACATACATATATACTTGCAATAAATCGCGCTTGCACGTAGCTCGAGACGCATCAAATAGGTACATCCAATATAGCACAAGAGTGGGCGCACGGCATCACAGAGTTATCAGCCAGCATGCTGTGAAGAATGAGACAATGCGCCGATCCAGAAGCTGCAGCAAGTGTCTGAGTGGCAAGTGACCACAAGTGACGCAATTAAATGCCATGCACGTTGTACGCCTGGCCATCCATTTAAGGATATTCAATTATAATTCGATTAAAATGCTTCACACATGAGCACGATTATGGAGCAAACAGGTAACAAGTACCTATCCTATACTACATGAATGTCGTTGCTGATCAACGTCCCGCTGTGTGACACAGCACATCTTGGCACATTGTTGTGCTATAAATGTGCGTGTGCAAGTTTTTTGCGTACGGCTATCGAAATTATTGACGAGCGATAAAATTACGCTTTAATGTTGTCACTTTGAGTCAAACCATAAGTGATTGTCACGTCGACGACTCTGGAGCAAAGCTACTCGGCGGGGGTAATTGATGAATTTCACATAGCACAGGTAATGGATAGTTTATGCGCATCTCTTTGGAAGGCAGGTATGCGCTATGAAGTGTGCATATCGTAGGTAATTAATATAAACGCTTTATTGCTTCTGGTTACCTGGCAGCGTTGATAGATTTATTATCCATGCGCGTGAGAATAAAATAGGCTGTTAAAGGCGCAGACAAATTAAGCAATGTTAAATCATGAACAGAACACTGTTCCACATGAAGTGGCGCGTAAAATTTGTCTGAGCTTCAAAAAGTTCTCCAAAATACCAAGAATTTAGTTATGGTACCGCGTTCGCACAATATCCAAAAATCATAGCGATTCTTCCTCGGCAGACAATGCAAAACCTACGATTTTAATTCGGTTGTATCCTCCCCAAAGTAATCTCCCTCGTAATCTAACCTTCCAATCTTCAAAGTGATTTCCATTCCACGACCTCAACCCTTCGTTAGATCCAAAATATGGCTAATGTCGCTTATTACTGGTTGGGCTAGTATTGTAGGCTCATGCCGGCCTGACGCATTGCAGGGCACATATAACGGAGACAACCGATTATTTCTCTCGCTCCCGAAAGGTCAAAGCTATGACCGCTAGTGTTGACTGTTGTCCCAGTATAACAGTATTTGAGACAACTAAACACTCTCCCAACCAGTTCAAGTTTAATCGAAGTCCGTAGTAGGAGAGGCAAAAGCTACTGCAAATTCTGCTAAGGACTCTGTGTCTTTTGCAATTCAGAATCGTTACGACACGTCTCAAGAGAGCTAGTCGATTAATTCGCTGATGTGAATGCTCCGATACCCCAAAATGGTGCCTTGACGTAGCTTCTCTCTACTTGGCTAACTAAGGAATTTGGAAAACACACAGTGGATCCGTCGAAAAATTTTGTCTCTATAACATAGTTCATTTTTGAGACATCCAGGGTTGCCACTGACGAAAAAAAAAATTTACCATTCACTTGAGAAAAATCTACCAA